GAGTCCTGCATGCCCAAGGCTCGTCTCCTTTCCCAACTCATTTCTTGGTTCTTCTCTATCACACTTCCTTAGAGATGGTGGATACCACACAGATCATGGTGCTGACCAGGAGAGAACACCAGGTGATTTGTACAGTGTGTGGGGAATGGGAAATCACTGCTTTTTTGCGGGGGGACAGGCCACCAACACTCGAGCAGCTAGAAGAGATTTTGTTATACGTTAACTACAAGGGTAGGTCACCAATGGCCATATTCAGTCTCCCTCATTTACATGGGCGCTATCATAGGGATTGAATGAGACACGAGGAAAACTTCACATTCCTTGTGAAGTAAGATGCTCTTCAGTATGAGGAAGACTGCCAAAATCCAGCCCCTTAATAACAGGATTTAATTCTGTGTTTATTTTGAACTGAAGCAGTGCTTTGAAAGAGAAAAAAGGTGAGAAATACCAATGACAGCTGCTGAAATGATTGTTTTGATTGTCATGCTGGACTTGGGACTGAATTCTGAAGTTCCCAACAGCAAGAAGATTTGCATCGGGACAAGCACGTGTGGAAGTTGAGGGAAAGATTCACATCATGCCTAATTCAAGACAATGCGAGGCAAGAGCTTGTAGTTGGTTCTTCATAAGCTACATACTGCTGTGACAGTAGATATTTACAGGGAAGAGAGAGAAGGTCTGTGAGAGTTTGGCACATAGGACAGCCAGGGGAAGCTCATCTTGAGAAATGCTGCCCACCACTCCTGGAGGTTATAAGTATAATGGACTTACACCCGGTTGAACAAATGCTCCTGGATGGAGCTGTGTGGGGTTGGAGCCTTGTTTCTGTATTCTCCCCAATTTTTCTGAGCTCTGGAAGGCACAAGACAAACTGTGGAAGTCTTTGTGGGACCTTCTGGTCATGCTGGAAGTGGTGTTACAGCACAGGGTTGCCTCAGTTCCACTGGCCTGGTGTTTTAGCAGAGGTCTGAAGGTTGTTTTAATGTGATAACAACTCTGTAATGTCTTGAGATCTCTCTCTAATACCTAATATCTCCAATGTCTCCTTGCAGGAGTTTGTATAAAAACATTTGGGAACTCTGAAACTACAACTTCAGGTTAATAACTCCTGGTAGAACATTAAGGTTTCAGAAGAGGCCAAAGGAGTTGGGTTCCACAGGATCTAGCAGATTTCTTGTAAGTTGTGAGTGCTTTTGAAATGATTGCAGACTATTAGGAAAGGCAGTTCTATCAGGAAAGGTTTTGATGTCAGCTGCATTAAGAGGACATTGTCAGATGGGTTCCTGGGTTGGTTTACAGCCTTTACGACTCTCCTAAGCATGTTCCTTTGAAGATGAAATCAGGGTCTGATTTCTAGCCCGTCTTACAATGAGAAAACCCATCTCCTTTCACCTGGCAAGCCTTTATTGATTTTCTTTTCTTGTTACTAATGGTGCCTGAAAATAACTTGAAGTTTATATCTGTTGCCCCTTATGCCTGTGCTTGCACTGTGTCTGGTGTTTTGATATTTCTGAAAATAAGCTTTGCTGCCTGTTCACACACCATCTGCTGGCTTTTAGAAAAGGTATTAGGTATGACTTGCCAGATAGTCAATGAGTCTCCTTACATCTGCCTACAATCCCTTTCTAAAGCCTATTGGCTTGTGCTATCCCTGCTGCCTCCCCCAAATAATAGTGTGACAAGGCAGATCCGTGAGTAAGTGCGTGCCACGTTGCATGGATAAGTGTGTGTACATAACCTAACACAGGAATAATGTTTATGGGACCTGCATTAACCATGGCTATTTTTAAAGAAAATTATTTTTGTTGGAAGAGAAATTAAACACAAATGGACTGCAGAGACCATTTCTCAGTGGCTTGTGACCACCCTCCCTCCCTTGCAGCTCTCAGATGTCAAATCTTGGTCACAGTCGACTTGGAAATCTTGAAATGTTACTGCCTCGCAAACCTGACGCGCTTGTTTTTGTAGCACAAATAAACACCTCATTAGTCTTAACTTTTTTTGTTTTGTATGCATGTTAATACTTTTCTATGTGCTTTCGCTGCTATGCAATTTGTGCAGGGTGCTGCAGTTTAATGCATTAGGACAGTAATGTTTCGGCTTCTACATCACCAAATGTGTTTTAGTTATTTTTCCTCAAATCACTGCAGTTACGTTAATGCTACAACTTCCTATTTGATTTTTGATTCTGTTTGCCTATCCTATGCCATCCCGTTAGTATTAATAGACACCCCTGATCCTTGGTGGCACACAAAAATATCATTTGATTATTTGTGGCTTCCTCTGAGGCATGCCGGGAATGCTATATTGCACTTCTCCAGCGTGCTCATTATTCTATGATAAGCTCAGCTGTCAGTCTGGATTTCTATTTCCTCTGTATTTTGTGAAGCTCTAAGAATATCTGGCAGCTCCAACCTGAGTGTTTGCAATGCGCTTCAGCTAAAACAGACTTCACTTACTTTAACCAGAGACTTGTATATAGGCTAGCGCCCTACAGCAACCTACATGAGCTAAAACAAAGTGATCATCCTATTTTATTTCCACTGAAGCAAATGGCATCACAGTGAAGCTCTAATTTTCTCTGAAATCTGCTGAAAGCTTTTTTTTGGTGGTGTTTTTTTTTTTTTTGTTTCAGTGGACTTCTGGTCATGTGGTAAGCCAACAAACATTACCTCAATATTTATTTATTTAACCCACTCCTAGTTTTCCTCACACTCCCCTAACATCTCTTTACACATTGTGGTTCAGCTGATTGCCAGTGTCCCGGCTGGGCAAACACTCACTGCTGTGCGTGGGGACGGCAACACAGCCCCTGCGGCGCAACGTGAATTCCTTCACCGGGCTGCAGCACCGCCCTCGCTCTGAGCTGGGCTTTATCAGCCAGTCCCTTTGAAGCAAATGGCTGGGACGTAATAAACCCGAATATAAAATATGCACAAAGAAGGCCAGCAGGGAGGAAATCTTTCTTTTGTCTGTCTTTGATTTAGCACAACTCTGTCTTCATCCATGCTTGCGTGCAGTGGGAAAGCGATGGTGGTTGAAAGCTGGCTGGGTAACAGGAACAAGGCATTTGCCTCCATTGGACCATGCTTGCCAGAGAGAGCTGTTGATTTCTACCTGGAAACATTCCGGGGTGTCAGATCTGGTTTCTGTTGGTGTCCATGATAAATAGAATTTGTGCTAAAGGACGAGCTTGGGTCCATAAGCTTCAACAGCTGCAGGATTCGACACTGCATCATGCCCGTTCCCTTCCCATGGTCCTGCTGATTTCTGGTTGCATGTGTGTACTCAGCCAGGAGACAGTGCTTCTGGAGAGGAGTGGGCTGGCAGTCCCCTGGCGTGGGGTGTGGGGGGCACCGGGCATGCGTCCCTGGGCTGGGAGGGTGCGCTGCTGCTGCTTGCTTACTCCTAGCGGGTCTGGAAATGCTGACTACAGACACTGCTTTTGCAAGGAGTGACATCAAAGGTCTTGAAATCTATATTTGCTGGCACTGTGATTTTTCTGCTGCTTGGGGAATGAAATCCATAACAAGACACTCTCATGGCATTGCCAGGGTACCTGAAGACAGATGCAAGTAGCAAGACGCCCTTTGAGTTCACCTCTGAGCAGCTGTATTGCTGTGATGTGCAAAAGTACAGGCTCCCCGGAGAGGCTTTAGCGAAAAGGCACTCTTTCTTCAACAGCAAAGACTGATAACAGGCAGCTTCCCTGCCCTTAAGGCCTGGACTTCCCACCTCTGCGCTGGCAGCTGCAGCCCATCTCTGCGACTCGTGTGAAAGTTCCCTCCCGAGGACTGCAGCCATGCTGCCACTTAAACCGCACTCACAGTAATGAGGATGGAAAGATGGGAGCAAAGAAGTAATGAGTGGGAGGAGGGAAACTACAATAAATCAACTACAATAAAACAACTCCGCTTCAATGTGGTTTTTTTACATGAGATACTCCATAAAAAAAATAATAAATCTTAAGGCAATTGGATCACCTTAAAGCACTTGAAAGCAGTATGACCTTTGGCTTTTGGTTTTGTTTTGTTTTTTTTTTTTTCCTATTTTCATCTGCTGGGTGAGATGTAGAAATCCAGCTGATCTATAAGGTAAATTTTCAGTTGCCATGGCAATGTGTCTCGTTCGTGTTCTCAGTTTGGAAGAGAGATTGTTCCACGCTGCTGTTTCGTGTCCAGGGCAATATTCTTTGGTGGCAGAATTTCTTTGTTTCAGTACATTAACGCTACAACTCTGTTCTTTTCCCAGCTTATGCAAACATGGCTCAGCCTGAACATTCCCCTGTTGAAATACAGTTATTTGCATTTTTTTGTTGTAAGAACATTCCTTAAGTCTGGAGGTAAATGTTGATCCATTTCGATAGCTTGGGTGCAGCAACATACTGACGCTGTGAAGTCTCACCGTTAAGTGGAAACAAACTGAAATCACTCCACCTTTGCTTCCACGTAGTTTGAACAAACTAAAGTATAACCTGAACTAGTGAGTCTTAGAAAAGTAATTTAAAAGTACATCCTACCTATAGTGTATATCTTACATGTTAGATTTCTACAGATCTCCATGTGCTTTCAGTCAATTCAGGTTCAATTCCTAAGTACTGCAAATTCCTAATTTTGATCAATACTTGCTTAAGGCCACAAATGGAGTTTCTCTTGTTTCTTTTACTGCCTTTAGTTCTTTGTTTTTTGGCATGCCACCTTCACCTTATTCCTAAGGTGAAGAGTCAAGCAGGAGCAGGCATCCCGGTTTGTGTTGGCTCAGGGCAGGCTGCAGTAGTGGGAGCAGGCTGAGTACAGCTCTGGAGGATTAGGAAAGCACATAGACGTGAGTCAGCCTGGTGTGATACACCTTGGAGGTTTCACAGAATGGAGGGCTCCTATATTTGGGTAAGAAGGACCCCTTTCTGGTCATGTTCCCCGCTTCAGCTGCATGTGACCTTCATTGCCTTTCTAACCTGCTTGGTTTCATTGAACTCCTCTCGGTTCTCTTTCCGAGCGACTTCACACAAGGGTGCAGCAGCTGTGGCACTTTGCACAACGCTTCTTCTTCTTCTTGGGGTGGAAAATGGTCAGGATTGCCTCATCAAAGACAGTCTTAAGGCCTTTCTGCGTGAGGGCTGAGCACTCCAGGTAGCACTGTGCTCCGATCTGAAAGAGAAAAGAGAAAAATGTGAGTACCCACTGTTGGGAGAGACAGAGCAACCCTGCTCCAGCATCCTTCTACATGCATACGTGCCCTGCCATGGAGGGAAGCCCAGACCTTTAGAAAGGTTCTCAGGTCACTGCTCTGTTTTGTATCTGGCTGCCTATGGGATTAAGGGACAAGCAAGGGAGCTGGGATGAGCATCAGCACCACAGGGCTTTAATGGGTAGCAGAACTCCCTGTGGGACCTGTGTTTGAATGCTGGACCAGCAGCTTGGCGTCTGCGCCACTGAGGGGTTTCAAGGAGGTGCTGGGTCATTAACTGAGCCCCTTCATATGCTTGGCTCTTTTCTCCTGACCTGTCACCCCTGTATCCTGCTTCCTGCAATGCCAGGGAGCTGCTACCTGGGGGAGAGCTTCCAGCTGCTTTCTGGGAACTGGGAAGCATCATCTTGAGACGGGAGTCTCCTGGGAGTGCTGGTATGACACAAACACACACACAGTGGCCCAGGAAAGCAGCCTCAGCTTGTTGAGCAACCCTGTCGCTTGTTCAACGTATTCTGCTAATGGATGCTCTCGCTGGCCTTTGAGGGCCAGGGCCTGTAATAGCACCATATAAGGTGGAAATGGCTGGGTCCAGGTGCCTGCATTTCAGGGCTTGGGAAGGGCTTTTATCTCCCTACCTTCCCAGGAGAAAAGTGAAATAGCACAGAAACCTTGGGAGCTCCTTCTCTGCTGCTTGAAGTGCAATGGATAAGTGAGAATCAAATTGTGCTTTTGTAAGGGATAGGGACGAGTTTGGGAGGAGGCGACTGCAGAGAGGGGTTTGTCACACGCACCTCCTGGCAGAAGCCTGAGCAAGAAGCACTTGACTCGGCTAAAGTAGGCCGTAAGATCTGTTTTGCTGCCTGTTTGCCACCTGCTGCCCTGTGTACCTTGCTGCTTTGCTTAGAGCTCCATTAGGTATTGCAGCAGAACAGCAGGCTGGGGAGTCGCAATTGTGTTTGGTTCCAGCCTGTTTGAAGAGAGGCTTTAATCTCTGGTTGGGACCAACCAACATGGCCCGGAGGAGTTCACCTTGAGTGAAACAAACCCAGTGGAAAGCTGTGATCAACCGATTTCATGGGACCTCAGAAAAAGCTATTACCTCCTTTGCTAGCTTCACTCCGTGCTCGTAGGTGAGTGGTTTCTCCTTCATGTAAAGCAGCCGAGCCAAAGTTTTGGGATCATCCCGGAGATCAATCTAGCAGAAAATGCAAATATCCTGTGTTCAGTACTGCCTTGCTGTAATTCTTGAGACAGATATTTGTAGCTTTACAAACCCACAGTCATGTCCTTGCATAAGGGCATCCTCCTTGCCTCAGATGATACTTCAGAAATGAATTGCATATGTATTTTCCTTTTTTTTTTTTTTTTCTCTTTTTTTCTGTTTAACATGAATTAGGTCTCATTGGCAGGAGAGACAGGCTGGGGCGGGGAAGGAGATGTCAATGGGAAATGTGTTTTCCTTGTCAAAATAAGAGGTGTTTTGAGATTTATTTTTTTTTGCCCTTTTTCTGTTCAAAAGAAGCTTGGAGAGCTGTGGTACAGTAAAGATGCGGTTCACGGTGGCTTTCACGACACATCTTGGAAAGCGTCGGTGGAAGCCTGAGCCACATTGGAAGGGGAGGCTGCTGCGACCCTGCACTGCATCACCCGAAAACCACCCTGACAGGCCAGACAGATGCAGCTCAGCCTGACTGACTTGAAACAAAATCCTTTATTTCCATGGAAAACATCAAAGCAAAGCATTCTGGCATTTCAAAGCTATCCATTTTCAGAGCGTGTGATCCAAAGGGTAATACTTTTATTTTAAAATGGGTGTTTTTGATTATTCCAGTGTGGAGAACAAAGCCAGTGTTTGAACAACTGGACTTTTCTATGGCATGAAGAGGTTGGTTTTGACCAGAATTTGATCTGCTTCCCTAACTTGGCTTAGGTTACTGTCCAGTGTTTGGACATTTTCCAAACGGTTTTATCCCTACTTCTCTCAATCTCTTGCCACTCTGTGTCTTGGGAGCAAATCCATATTTAGGGCATTTTTATTTGATTGATAGATTTATAGATTTTAAGGCCAAAATAAAGTGGTTGGATCGTTTAGTCTAACATCCACTATAACACAAGCAGGATGGTGAGTCACTAATTGCAATGTTGATGTAAAAGCACAAAGGGAGGCTATTTCCTTCCATGTCTCTAAGTAAGTCGTTTGGTTAATTATTCCCATTCTTAAAATTTAGTTTGAAGTTTAGCCTCTGCTTCTAACCACAGACTTCCATGGGTTTTTTTCCTCTCACTAAAGGTCTGTCAGGAATCTTTTCTCCCTATAGGTATTTATGCCTTCATACCACATTAATATTCATTTGAATAAGAAGTGGGATGAGTTTTGCCAGTCGTGACTAGCATGATGGAACATCTGCCTGTTGGTTTCCATTCCCAGTCCCTGAGTTTTCCTCCAGTGGGGAAATCTGTCTGCATTTCACACAAGAAGTTAAATAGGAAACTTTTCCAGAGAGCTCAGACTCCAGCCATCCCTGGGGTGGAGTAGGAGCCCTTGCGCTCTGAAGACCCCCGGAATGGCTGGCAGTGCCCTGCAGGAGCATTACCTGTGTTCCTATGAGGACGTAAGGCACGTTGGGCATGCAGACTTTCAGCTCGGGCACCCACTCCTCCTGGACGTTGTGGTACGAGGCGGGGTTCACCACTGAGAAGCAGATCAAGAACACGTCCGTGTTGGGGTAGGACAGGGGTCTCAGCTGGTTGTAGTCCTCCTGCCAGGGGGAAAACAGCAAGTGTGTTATGGGGTGGGGGGTAACTGCAGCTGGGGGCATCACGTTGAACTGCTCAGCGCTGGCCCTCCACGCTTGAGCACGCTCCTTACCTCTAGGGAGCTGCTGAGCAGAGCCACATTTCGTGGGCCAGGGCTGCTGTTTTGTCAGCACCTTTACCCAAAAGAGCTCACACATTTCGTTTGTGTGTGCGTTATCCGTGGTGATGCTGGTGTAGAGGGTAATGCTAAGCAGAGGCCATCACTGGTGGTGTGATAAAAATTGATCTTGAGGCTGTGTGTACTGGCCACAGCCCTCCGGCAATGTGATACCATCCTGGGAAGTTTTGTTTGACCAATATTTGCTAATGAAACACATCTCTAGGGGATTTTCTGTTAATATTATGGCCTTTCTATTCCCCAGTAGGCATTATAGACATGACCATATACAACAAAAACGGGTCTCTGGGCTATCTGGTGCCATCACAGTCATGTACGGTACTCAGCAATGTGTCAGTCAGCAGAAGACACTCATCTTGAAAGAACAAAGCGGTACAAATCCAGACGTCAGTGTCTGGCTGAATCTCTGGGGGTTATTTAATGTTTCCACAGGCCCTGAACTGGGGAAGGAGAGATGTCTTCTCTTGGTGCTAGTTGGGAAGAAGGTGAATTTTCAAACAGCTGTGTCATGTCGTGAGCTGGCTTTGATAGCTGAGTTTCAGGGAAGAATTTGGGTCTGTTTTCAGCCTGGAGCTGTTGAGAGCCAGCAGAGGTTTTGCAAGCTGTGTGAAAGGGATAGACTGGCTCTTTCTGATAGTGAGAGCGTACGTAGCTGTGTCTCGCTGGTACTTTTCAATGAAACCTGTTAGAAAATTTTAGTACAATGGAACGGGTGCTTTTAGAGGGGATACACCTGTTCTGAAGACTTTTTTGGTGGGTCCAGAATTAAAAAAAGGAAAAGGAACACAACATTGAGTGTGGGAAATGATAATACCTGTTGCTGTCAAGCCTAACTGAGACCTAGGTCTTTATTTCACAGTTTCTGCACTCTGGGTGAGCCTCAAATCTCTGCAGGTATGGTCTTTTTTGGTTATAATTGTCGGAAACTTCAAGTGGTGCAGTTCTGCTTTGCAGATCCCGAAATAGTTAATAACTCAATGAAAAGGGAAAAAAACCCCAAAAGAGATATCCAGGTGCTGTTGCTCAAACTTGAGAACATTTATTTGAGGTAGGGAAAACCCACATTAGGGGAGGGAGCAATGCAACTGCTGTCTGTCCTGCAGGAGAAACCGATGCGGGACTGTATCACTGTGGGCCCAGATAAGATGGTGGCTTAATTCAGTCTTCTGTCTTGCTTTGGTTGGGTTGTGGTGGGTTGACCTGGGCTGGACACCAGCTGCCACCAAGCTGTTCTATCACTCCCCTTCTCAGCAGGACAGTGGAGGGGAGAAAATGAGATGGGAAAAAAAGTCCCCTCATGGGTCGAGATAAAGGCAGGGAGGGATCAAATAGACTTGACTTGGGGAAATTAATTTATTACCAATCAAATCAGAGTAAGGTAATGAGAAAATAAAAACTAAATCTTAAAACACATCAT